GAAAAGTTTTTCCGAGATATGCACACTTGCAGACAGTGGTGAAAAGCCCTGTCAGACCAGATCAGCGAAGCGGATACGGGACTATTGGAATAAAAAGAATTGCGTTTTGCTGCTTCATAAGAAAATCGCTGGTTCGTTTTTGTTGTTTCTGCACACTACTATATTTTTTTTGTACGGTCATCGCAGTATGTACCGGGGCAAGCTCACGCCCATTTTCCGTGAGCTAAGCCGCAGCACAGCCAGGTATGCAGACCAGCCTCGAATGCGTACTCCTACCTTGATTCCCTTTAGTTTTTATTTTTCAAGCAGCCTCTTAGGAGATAGCCGTTACAATATGCACAATGTACATCAGCATCACGGTATCGTCATTTCGGGAAGGTCATTTCAGGAACGTTGCCGTACTATGACGACCAAGTAAAATGCACCTCAAATATTAGGGTTTAATTAAATTGGAGATTTTTCTGTAATTTATTAAAGCCAAAAATTTTAGCAGCATAAAACTAATTAATCTATATTCTAAAAAATATTTGTTTAAATCTACGCACATAAAGTCCACTTGCAGAACATCCAGAGTTAAATATATAAATGGAGAGTTAAGTAGCCCAAAATTAAATTGTTATATTCCTAAACCAGACAATACCTTATAGCATTGAAAACTGACCCAGAGTTAAGCAAACCGAGGGATTTCTAAACTAAGTAGGCACCACTCCCTCTTTTTTTGACATTTGTTTACATTTCTTATTAGAATTTGAATATAAAATTTCAAACCCTTACCTACATACATATATAGGCACAAATTGTAAATTGGCCAGCGGCACTTCTGAGAGTACTCTTAATTGGGTGGACCACTAATAAGGTTGGTGCTTTTTAATCGCATATATTTTTTACGCCAGACTGACCGAAATCTCAGAGCTGAAGGCGGAAAAATGAATACGTGAATATGTACATACAGATGCGTGCAACTAATTAACAACGAAATTCAAAACGATATTGCTTGCAAATTATGTTTATTTATTTATTTTTAATAATTTTCATTTAAAATATAGTTCAATCTATAGCAGAAACCACAATAACAAAAGTTGCAAAGCTTGCACAAATTGCAAAAAAAATAATCAAACTTAAAAAAATCGTTATCAAATTTTCAAAATTTTTAATTAGAATATATAGAAAATGTTGGGGTATGCAGTTTTGTAGCCCATTCAATTTTAGTATAATAAATTGGAAGTTTCAAGTCGCTAAAAATTATCGTTGATTTTTTAGAACTTTTTTTGTCGAGGGTGTTGCCGATTTTTTTCCATGTAAAAAAAATTTTGATCATGTGTTATATGGAAGAAAATGCGCAACACCCTCCACAAAAAAAAATTCTAAAAAATCAACGGTAAGGTTTAGCGACTTGAAACTTGCACTTTATTATACTAAAATTGAATGGGCTACAAAACTGCATACCCCAACATTTTCTATATATTCTAATTAAAAATTTTGAAATTTTGATGACAATTTTTTGAAGTTTGATTAATTTTTTTGCAATTTGTGCAAGCTTTGCAACTTTTGTTATTGTGGTTTCTGATATAGATTGAATTATATTTTAAATGAAAATTATTAAAAATAAATAAATAAACATAATTTGCACGCATCTGTATGTATGTATGTACATATGTATGTACATTAGACTGCATCACTCCCCATAAAAAAACAATCGGTACTGTTTTGCCATTGGAATTATAAAATCTATTATATTTTAAGATGTCCACCAAAATATTTCGGAAAAATATTAAGATTTAAGCGGGCTTGACCGATTTGAAAATACCCCCAAAAATCGAGTTTTTTATGAATAAAAATAGTTTCTTAAAGATGTTTTTTGACAAAATCACCTCGAATGACAAAACGGTTTAAGCTCAAAAAAGGTATTAAAAAATCTTTTCAACGGAATCATAATAATGAGATTTTTGATGCTGTTTTTNGGCTTGACCGATTTGAAAATACCCCCAAAAATCGAGTTTTTTATGAATAAAAATAGTTTCTTAAAGATGTTTTTTGACAAAATCACCTCGAATGACAAAACGGTTTAAGCTCAAAAAAGGTATTAAAAAATCTTTTCAACGGAATCATAATAATGAGATTTTTGATGCTGTTTTTTTACTTTTTGAAAGATTGCTAAAATTAATTAATCTACATTCTAAAAAATATTTTTTTAAATTTACGCATATAAGGCCCACTTGCAGAACATCCAGAGTTAAATATATAAATAGAAAGTTAAGTAACTTAAAATTGTTATATTCCTAGAGCAGACAATAACTTAGAACATTGAAAACTGGCCCAGAGTTAAGTAAACCGAGGGATTTCTAAATTAAGTAGGCACCACTCTCTCTTTGTTGACGTTTGTTTATATTTCTTATTAGAATTTGAATATAAAACTTCAAACACTTACATACATACATACATAGGTACAAATTGTAAATTAGCCAGCGGCACTTCTGGGAGTTCTCTTAATTGGGTGGACCACTAATACGGTTGCTGCTCTTTAATCGCATATATTTTTTACGCCAGCCAGACCGAAATCTCTGAGCTGAGGGCGGTAAAATGAATACGTGAATATGTACATATATGAATGTACATTAGAAAAAAAATCGGTACTGTTTTTACATTGGAATTATAAAATCTATTATATTTTAAGACGTCCACCAAAATATTTCGGAAAAATATAAAGATCTAAGCGAGCTGGACCGATTTGAAAATACCTCCAAAAATGGAGTTTTTTATGAACAAAAATAGTTTCTTAAAGATGTTTTTTGCCAAATCACCTCGAATGACAAAACGGTTTAAGCTTAAAAAATTCACATAAAAATATTTAAAAAAGCCTTATTTTATCTCTCTTCAGACCATTCACCCTGCCTCATAACATTATCAGTGTTTGTTGACGTGAGTCCAATTGAGTAGGATAACTCGCTACTTATAAATAAAATAAATATATTAAACTATTTGTTTGTAATATTAATTTATTGAAAAGAAATGTATTTTATTTCGTAGAAAATCTGCTCGCTGCCGCTGCTGGGTGATGAAGCAATTTTTCACTTTTCGCTCTCTGTCTTATAACCCGTCATTTGTTGACGGCAGTGTGGGTGTTAAAGGTGGTGCTACATGGTAGGCGTGTTAAAGGTAGTGTTACATGGCAGGCGTGTTGAAGGTAGTGTTGTTTAGAAGGAGTTTCAACATTCGTCCCCGCCGATGATATGCTTGGATACTGCACTATCATAAGTTGAATCTCGACTGGGCTGAGACTGGAATGAGAGCAAATAGTTATACAAATGATATTAAGAAATGGGTTGTTGGTTTGAATCGTGCCAATTGTCTGCGATAGGCAGTAGACATAACTTAGTTATTGGGCGCTTTAGTATCCCATTTTGCGTTTTTAGTTCCACGACTCGTACTAGGTGATCATCTCCTTGATATGTATGTAATATGCGTCCGAGTGGCCACACATTGCTCGGAACTCGTTCGTCTTTTACCAACACTGTCATTTATTTGTATATTATTCTTTGTTTTTAGCCACTTTGGGCGTTTTTGTAATCGCGACAGCTACTGGCAGTTCTTCCACCGATCGAGAAGACAAATTTTTTCAATTTCCATGACCGGAGGAGCTAATAACGCATCGCCGGTTAAAATGACCTGGAGTAAGCACTGTTAAGTCGTCAGGATCATTCGACATCGGGCACAGCGGGCTGGAGGCTGAGGCAGGATTCAATCTGAGCCAACGCGCTTCAAATGGTATTTCATCGATTTTACTCCTGCCTCCCAAAGACCTCCAAAAGGAGGCGCCGATGGAGGGATAAAATGCCACTGTATATGTTGTTCAAGAAGAAAGGGTGCGATCTGTGTCTGTACATATTTTTCGTATGCGTGCCGATCAGCTTGGAGTTTTCGATTGGCGCCGACAAAATTGGTCCCACAATCACTATAAATATTTTTGCAAACTCCTCTGCGACCAATAAAACGTTTAAGGGCCCCGATGAATAATTCTGCAGAAAGACCTCCAACTGGTTCTAAATGTATCGCCTTAGTGACGAGACAAATGAAAAGCGCTACATATCCCTTTACTGATGTTAGGCCTTTACCCCGTGATGGCAATATGTGCATTGGGCCGGCATAATCCACTCCAGTTGAAGAAAACGGCCTAGATGAACAAACTCGTGGAGCTGGCCGATTTCCCATAAGTTGTTGTGCAGGTTTTGGATTATAGCGATAACAGATAATACAGCGATGGATGGCCGTTCGAACTGCATTACGAGCATTTAAGATCCAGAAGCGTTTACGAATGTAATGCAATGTGGCTGCAACTCCACCGTGCAGAGTGCGCAAGTGTGATGCTATTATAATTAAATTAGAAAAATGATGTTTTTGTGGTAGGATATATGGGTACTACTCTGCAATAGGTAGACGTGATTCGCGCAATCGCCCACCTAGTCGAATTACCCTTTCCTGTTGATCAAAGAATGGATTAAGTGGGGCGATGGTACTTTTTTCTTGCAAAGCCTTATTGGCTGAAAGTACATCCCATTCGCGAGAGGCTGCAACTCCACCGTGCAGAGTGCGCAAGTGTGATGCTATTATAATTAAATTAGAAAAATGATGTTTTTGTGGTAGGATATATGGGTACTACTCTGCAATAGGTAGACGTGATTCGCGCAATCGCCCACCTAGTCGAATTACCCTTTCCTGTTGATCAAAGAATGGATTAAGTGGGGCGATGGTACTTTTTTCTTGCAAAGCCTTATTGGCTGAAAGTACATCCCATTCGCGAGGGAAAGCACTTTGCTGAATTATCCGCAGGATGCTCGATAGGCTATTGTCTAACTCATTCACTGTCAATGCGTTAAAACGGCGCAATTGAAGATGAACCGGTGGCAGTAGGCGATGACTCGCACAAGTTGTGCGTACGATGAATATTTTTCAATAACGTGGTGGATGTGATCTTTCTCAGTACTACTGAAATTGACTTTGATTTACTTCGCTTGACATTCCTCAGATTTAACAGTAACGTTTTCAGTAATATTGTGATTTGGCCATTCACTTGCTGGTAAACTCAGCCAAGATGGTCCGCGCCACCATAACTGATATCGCGCTAGTTTCAGTGAACTTAGTCCTCGACTAGAACAATCAGCCGGATTATCCTCTGATGCAACGTATCGCCACTGACCTTCCTCCGAAACTTCCAAAATTTTATTGATACGATTAGATACGAAAATTTTCCAACGATTGGGATCTCCACGAATCCATCCCAAAACAATCATTGAATCCGTCCAAAAATGTATGCGTGAATTATCGATAGGAAGGCGCAGGTGTCTCTGCAAAAACTGAACAAGCCTTGCTGCAAGAAGCGCTCCACATAACTCCGCTCGTGGGATAGTAATTTTCGGTTTAATGGGGGCAACCTTGCACTTCGCCAGTAGTAGACTGGTGCACCATTTTCCGCCATCATCGCGCGCTCGTAGATAGGCTGTTGCTGAATATGCAAGTGTAGACGCGTCGCAGAACACGTGTAGCTCCTTAGCCGGATTAGTGGCACCAGTATCCAACCAACGTGGAAGACGTATTTGGGAGATATTAGGTAGCTCCTCTATAAACCGCTTCCAAGGAGTTTGTATATCGCCTGGCACTGGTGTATCCCAGCCAAGTTTCAATGACCATAATTGTTGCATGATGATTTCCCCTGTAACTATTACCGGATTAACCCAGCCGAGCGGATCGAATAAACGCGCTGTAGTTGACAAAATGCTCCGTTTTGTGGCGCCACCACTTGGAAGTTTAAAATTTAGATTGAATTCGAAATTGTCAGTCGCTGGGTTCCATGATAGGCCCAAAGTTTTTATGGTTTCCTTTGCGTTGAGGTGCAACACACCATGTGTTGCTTTGTGTTCTGTTGGAATGTTTTCGAGCAGCTTCGGATTGTTGGCCGCCCATTTGCGAAGTTGAAATGTACCGCTATGTAGCATGGCTATTATTTGGCGTTGAAGTTCCTGCGCCCTTTCAATAGATTCTCCCCCCGATAAAATATCGTCTACGTACATCTCATATTTTATCACATCCACCGCTTAGGGATACTTTATTCCTTCATCGTTAGCTAGCTGATGCATTGTGCGTATAGCTGTAAATGGGGCGGAGCTCGTACCGAACATCACCGTAGAACAAAAATGTTCTTTAATATCCTCTGTCGGATCATTGCGCCACAATATTCTCTGGTATTGTGCGTCGTCTTCATGAACGTCAATGCGGCGATACATTTTCTCAATGTCCGCAGTAAATACATATTTTGCAAAGCGCCAATTGATTAAGACTGCTGATAAGTCCCTCTAAAGAGCAGTGCCAGTTGCGAGTATATCGTTTAATGAATTTCCATTTGCAGTTTTTGCCGAAGCGTCGAACACGACACGAAGTCTAGTTGTAGATGACGACTCCTTTATAATAGGATGATGTGGTAGATAGCAAAAATTATAGGATTCGGTGTCACGCTGCGGTGCATGCTGATGATGAGATTCGGATGAGGTGACAAGTTGCATTTGGCCCAGCTCTAAATATTCGTCGATGGTGTCTTGGTAGCTTCTCTTCAGTTCGGAATCCCTTGTTAGCCTTCGTTCTAGATTTAAAAATCGTTTTAAAGCAATGTCTCTAGAAGCACCTATGACCCTGTCTGGTTGATGTTGTGATAACAATGGCAAACGGACAACATATTTTCCATTATCTAGACGGCGATGTGTGTGGCGATAATACTCGTCACACCATTGGTCTTCGTTGCTCAGAACATGTTCACTGTGTAACTCTTCGATTTGCCAAAATTTGGTTAGCAGCTGGTCAATCTCGACCTGAGTGGTTAACGATGAAACTGTGATAATTGGTGACCTTGATGCGGAGAATTTGCCAGAAATAATATAACCAAAAATGGTTTTTGAGCTATGGGACTACCATTCTCCCCACGATACGTGTCACTCAGAATGCAATCGTCGTAAACGTCATTATCAAGTAAAACGTCGATACCATGAGGACGATGATATGTCGGATCAGCTAGATCCAGGCCTTTCAAATGCGACCACGTGGAAGTTGTTTATCGGGCATGGCCCCACTTATTCTAGGTAGAACATAGGCCATGACAGTGTATTTAGTTCGATGATCGAGAACCAACGGACATAAGAACATACGATCGTCCTTCTGCTACCTTTGCTCCTGATATACCTTGGATGTTAACCCAAGTTTTCTTTCGTGATAACCGCAACTGCTGGACAGCTTGCTCAGTAATGAACGACGCCTGAGATCCTTGATCCAAAAAAGCTCTGAAGTGATATGGTTGACCCTCTTTGTCGTCGATGGTCACCACAGCCGTTGGTAGTAGCACATCAAAATTATAGTTGGTAGACGTTGGGTTTCTTGGCACGGTGGCTGTAGCCACCTCGCCGGCGCCTAAACCGCCTTTCATAATAGATAAATGCATAGAAGTAGGGGCTGATTGCTCAGTAGACTCATCTGTATGAATGTGGGTGTGATGACTGGCACCACACTTCATACACGTTCGATGACTGCTACACTTAGAAGAATGATGGTTGTGCCCTAAACATTGTAACAAAGTTTAAGCTTGCGAACTGCGGCCTTGCGATCTGTAAGATTAAGAGCTAGAAAAACTGAGCATTCACGTACTGGATGNTGGGTGTGATGACTGGCACCACACTTCATACACGTTCGATGACTGCTACACTTAGAAGAATGATGGTTGTGCCCTAAACATTGTAACAAAGTTTAAGCTTGCGAACTGCGGCCTTGCGATCTGTAAGATTAAGAGCTAGAAAAACTGAGCATTCACGTACTGGATGCTCCCCCTTCGTACAGACTGGACACACAGTTACTCTTTTCGCTACATGAAGTGAAGTTACCTCCCTTTTGTTGTGGCGAATTTCGTGGGTACCCTTTTGCGCGTTCACATGCGATTTATGATTTGAAGAAGTTATCATAATTTGATACTGTTCATCTAACACCGTACACAGATCCTCAAAGGAAGGAATTGTTCTTTTCTTGCTTATGGTTCGTTCACATTCGCGTTGCAATGCAGGTGGCAATCGTTTTCACATATAATGAACCAAAATATGATTTTCTGAATTAGTATGTACACCTAA